CCTGGAATAATTGCGTCGTTTCCTTGAAACAGGTATTAGGAAGAAATTTGGAACTCTCCACTCCACAACACGCAGTGATGTTTTTTGAATGTTTTGTTTTTAAAATCTCCAACCCAACAACACAGTTTATTGCTTTGTCATTCTATAATTCTCTAGCACTCTTTGAAAATGTCGCTATTGTTTTGTTGTATTTTTTTTTTTACAGATTTGTTTTTTTGTTTGAAAGGGGAGAGGCGGGGGTGTCTACCTTGACATGTGTGTTTTGGGTTGAGAGGCGGGGGTGTCTACCTTGACATGTGTGTTTGGGGTTGATGCTTTTGTTGTGTTACAATCCTTCACGACACTTCCTTTAGGACGCTTTTGTCACCCCGCAGTCGTGGTCCGGCAATGAAGTTTTTTTTTTTTTTGTATGCTTGAAACACGTAGCGTTCTGGAAAGCTTGCCCCTGATTTCGTCCACACCCCCACCCACCCCTTTCTTTTACCACACAGTTGGCGGAAGACGCAAACGTGCCAGAATCTGTGTGGGGAGCTGTTTTTATATGGAGGTGTGGAATGTCTTATGACGTGCACGACCATCAAGGTCAGAGAAGGGAGGGGGCTCTGGTTCAAATAGTTCATTTTATGAGCAGTATCGGTTTTGTTGTTGTCCTGGAACTGCTGTTTATTACATCTTTCGTAGTCGGTCTCCACCCCCCCCCCCCACCCAGCCCTTTTCTTCGTCATTTCATGCAATGGATAACCCTCACTAAAATTTGAACCATGTGTGAAATNTAGTTCATTTTATGAGCAGTATCGGTTTTGTTGTTGTCCTGGAACGGCTGTTTATTCCATCTTTCGTAGTCGGTCTCCACCCCCCCCCCCCACCCAGCCCTTTTCTTCGTCATTTCATGCAATGGATAACCCTCACTAAAATTTGAACCATGTGTGAAATGATGTATTGGGTAAAATGTTGGTGAAATGATTATTGGGTAACATGTTGGTGAGCTGATGTATTGGGTAACATGTTGGTGAGCTGATGGATTGGGTAACATGTTGGTGAAATGATTATTGGGTAACATGTTGGTGAGCTGATGTATTGGGTAACATGTTGGTGAGCTGATGTATTGTGTAACATGTTGGTGAAATGATGTATTGGGTAACATGTTGGTGAGCTGATGTATTGGGTAACATGTTGGTGAAATGATTATTGGGTAACATGTTGGTGAGCTGATGTATTGGGTAGCATGTTGGTGAGCTGATGTATTGTGTAACATGTTGGTGAAATGATGTATTAGGTAACATGTTGGTGAGCTGATGTATTGTACCAGGTAACATGTTGATGAGCTGATGTATTGTGTAACATGTTGGTGAAATGATGTATTGGGTAACATGTTGGTGAGCTGATGTATTGTACCAGGTAACATGTTGTTGAGCTGATGTATTGTGTAACATGTTGGTGAGCTGATGTATTAGGTAACATGTTGGTGAGCTGATGTATTGTACCAGGTAACATGTTGGTGAAATGCTGTATTGGGTAACATGTTGGTGAGCTGATGTATTGGGTAACATGTTGGTGAGCTGATGTATTAGGTAACATGTTGGTGAGCTGATGTATTAGGTAACATGTTGGTGAGCTGATGTATTAGGTAACATATTGGTGAGCTGATGTATTAGGTAACATGTTGGTGGGCTGATGTATTAGGTAACATATTGGTGAGCTGATGTATTAGGTAACATATTGGTGAGCTGATGTATTAGGTAACATGTTGGTGAGCTGATGTATTGGGTAATTTGTTGCGCATTGTTTTGAGTGTTTGACACGCTGCGATAAGGACACTTATGTCAGGTACACATCATTCCGTGTGTGCATTATGTCATACACATATTAATAGATAAACACAGGAAGACATATTCACACTAAGTCATAGACGCATTGCGCAATAGACACATAATGTCAATGTCTCTTCTTCATGTGCAGGGACACATAAACGTCATATTGTATTCATAAACACATTTACAGCAATAACAAATTGGGCATGGATTAATACAAAGATTGACTCATATACATTACATCCTAGAGAAAGTAAGTCATATAGTTACACCATAAGGAAATTAAGTCATATACATTACTCCCTACAGCAGGGGTCACCAAACTTTTTCCACGGCGTGCCGGATAACGCACAAAATGACGAACGCTGGCCACATAATCATTCTGTACAATACTTGCCAGCCAGAACGAAAGCTCTGGGGGGAAAAGACTAAAAAACTAAGTTTAGTGTTACATGTTAATCGTGAGCGAGTGGCGCGCAATGCAAAGAAGCAAAGACAACCATCATATTTATTTACTTAAAAATTAGTAAAGAAGGCGACGTTAGCAAAAAGATAGTTATATCAGACCTAGTGCGCACATATTCGAGTCTCAGAAACTAAGATAGTTATATCAGACCTAGTGCACACATATTCGAGTCTCAGAAACTAAGATAGTTATATCAGACCTAGTGCGCACATCTTCGAGTCTCAGAAACTAAGATAGTTATATCAGACCTAGTGCGCACATATTCGAGTCTCAGAAACTAAGATAGTTATATCAGACCTAGTGCACACATATTCGAGTCTCAGAAACTAAGATAGTTATATCAGACCTAGTGCGCACATCTTCGAGTCTCAGAAACTAAGATAGTTATATCAGACCTAGTGCGCACATCTTCGAGTCTCAGAAACTAAGATAGTTATATCAGACCTAGTGCGCACATCTTCGAGTCTCAGAAACTAAGATAGTTATATCAGACCTAGTGCGCACATCTTCGAGTCTCAGAAACTAAGATAGTTATATCAGACCTAGTGCGCACATCTTCGAGTCTCAGAAACTAAGATAGTTATATCAGACCTAGTGCGCACATCTTCGAGTCTCAGAAACTAAGATAGTTATATCAGACCTAGTGCGCACATCTTCGAGTCTCAGAAACTAAGATAGTTATATCAGACCTAGTGCGCACATCTTCGAGTCTCAGAAACTAAGATAGTTATATCAGACCTAGTGCGCACATCTTCGAGTCTCAGAAACTAAGATAGTTATATCAGACCTAGTGCGCACATATTCGAGTCTCAGAAACTAAGATAGTTATATCAGACCTAGTGCGCACATATTCGAGTCTCAGAAACTAAGATAGTTATATCAGACCTAGTGCGCACATCTTCGAGTCTCAGAAACTAAGATAGTTATATCAGACCTAGTGCGCACATCTTCGAGTCTCAGAAACTAAGCAGAAAAAGGTTAGTGAGATTTGTGAAACTGACGTTTGGCTTTCAAGATAGCATCAATGTTTGGTTTGGAATTGTTGCATCCATGTACCAATCTAATCTTCCATTTCATTTCAACCAAATCTCCACAATCATATGAACCTAATCTGCCCGTTTATATTAACCTAATCTCCCCGTTCATATGAACCTAATCTCCCCGTTCATACCAACCTAATCTCCCCGTTCATACCAAACTAATCTCTCCGTTCATATCAACCTAATCTCCCCCTTCTAATGAACCTAATCTCCCCGTTCATACCAACCTAATCTCCCCGTTCATATGAACCTAATCACAACGTTCATATCAACCAAATTTCCCCGTTCATATCAACCTAATCTCCCCATTCATATCAACCAAATTTCCCCGTTCATACCAACCTAATCTCCCCAATCATATCAACCAAATTTCCCCGTTCATATCAACCAAATCTTCCCGTTCATATCAACCAATTCACCTTGTTCATATCAACCAAATCTCCTTGTTCATATCAACCAAATCTCCTTGTTCATATCAACCAAATCTCCCCGTTCATACCAATCAAATCTCCCCGTTCATACCAACCTAATCTCCCCGTTCCCATCAACCTAATCTCAATGTTCACACCAGCCAAATCTCGGTAAATCTCGGTAAATCTCGGACTAAGTGTTTCATTACTCACGCCGCCTCGCATTGTCCTAGTCACGTGACAGAAAGCGGTCGTTGTACTGCCGGCACCAACCGGTCACGATAAGTCATATGTGACGTAATATCCGGATTGTACGGCATTTAATATTAATTCCTGTTTTCGCGGCTTCCGCCATTCCATGGACAGATTCCTCTCCAGGTCCGCGGAAAATTCCCTTAAGTGTCGCGTACGACGCCGCCGAGTCAGTGGCAAGACGACGGGCTCAAGAACAGTTCCAACGACCTCTCCCCCTCCCCCCCACGTCTGTTACTTCACACACAGGTATAAAATTCCTCGCCGTACCGTGGCTGATCTGCTTATGGCCCATAAGGTTATGGGGGTATTGTTTGTAGGCCTGGTGAAAGTAAAAAAAAAGAAAAAAAGTGAAATTTGATACCTACTCACTACATGGTTCCGAGATTAAATAAATACAGATTTTAAAAAGAAGAAAGAAGAGCCGTTAATCTTTTAAAAATAGATTTCTATTTTTGGATGACATTTTTTTCTGAAGGCTTCGCCAAGCAAGATTTTTTATTAAAAAAGGGAGGTGTGAGAATGTGTGAAGCGTGATCCGATGTGACGTCAGACGAAATGGTACTAAGTGATTTCAGCGATAGATATAAATGGCTGTGTTGGTCTGCTGAGAACCGGAGGATCTGTTTGTTTCTTTTGACTCGCCCTGTGATCTCGAAAAACACAGGCCGTGAGAGTAGTTAGGTGAAGCTCAACAGAGATATCAACACTGACAGTGAGGGTAGTTGGTTGGCGTTCACCAGAGATATCAACACTGAGAGTGAGGATAGTTGGTTTGAAGTTCACCAGAGATATCAACACTGACAGTGAGGGTAGTTGGTTGGCGTTCACCAGAGATATCAACACTGAGAGTGAGGATAGTTGGTTTGAAGTTCACCAGAGATATCAACACTGACAGTGAGGGTAGTTGGTTGAAGTTCACCAGAGATATCAACACTGAGAGTGAGGGTAGTTGGTTGAAGTTCACCAGAGATATCAACACTGAGAGTGAGGGTAGTTGGTTGAAGTTCACCAGAGATATCAACACTGACAGTGAGGATAGTTAGGTGAAGTTGCTCTGAAATATTAACACTGACAGTGAGGATAGGTGAAGTTGCTCTGAAATATCAACACTGACAGTGAGGATAGTTAGGTGAAGTTGCTCTGAAATATTAACACTGACAGTGAGGGTAATTAGTTCAAGTTCATCTGAGAAATCAACACTGAGAGTGAGAGTATTTAGTTGAAGTTCGCCGGACCGTTGGGCCATAGTTCTAACTAAAGGTGAGTGAAAACTTCTACCTTTAATCTGATAGACTCGTTTCTTACTTCTTTGTACCGTGAACAATAGAGTGGAGTAATAGTTGCTTTACTTAACTTGTTTCACAGACTCTTCCTATCGAATGTTGCACTGGGTGTTACTGTGAAGGTTAAACTTAGTGCTACTGTGAATGTTACACTTGGTGTTACTGTGAATGTTAAACGTGTTGTTACTTATTAAATGTTAAACTTGGTGTTACTGTGAATATTAAACTTTGTGTTACTTAATGAATGTTAAATTTGGTGTTAACGTGAATGTTAAACTTGTTGTTACTGTGAATGTTAAGCTTGGTATTACTGTGAATGTTAAACTTGGTGTTACCGTGAATGTTAAACTTGTTCTTACTGTGAATTTTAAACTTGGTGTTACTGTGAATGTTAAACTTGGTGTTACTTATTGAATGTTAAACTTGGTGTTACGGTGAATGTTAAACTCGATGTTACTGTGAATGTTAAATTTGGTGTTACTGTAAATGTTAAACTTGGTGTTACTGTCAATGTTAAGCGTGGTGTTACTGTGAATGTTAAGCGTGGTGTTACTTATTAAATGTTAAACTTCATGTTACTGTGAATGTTAAACTTGATGTTACTGTGAATGCTAAATTTAGTGTTACTTATTGAATAATAAGTCCTGATGTTAATTATATATACAATCATTACCCCCACTGACCCAATCCTGATTTTCATGGACAATACAATCATTATCCCACTGACCCAATCCTGATTTTCATGGACAATACAATCATTACCCCCACGGACCCAATCCTGATTTTCATGGACAATACAATCATTACCCTCACGGACCCAATCCTGATTATCAGGGACAATACAATCATTACCCCCCACGGACCCAATTCTGATTTTCATAGACAATACAATCATTCCCCCACGGACCCAATCCTAATTTTCAGAGACAATACAATCATTACCCCACGGACCCAATCCTGATTTTCAAGGACAATACAATCTTTATACCCATGGACCCAGTCTCCTTGCTCGTCTGATTTTAAAAAAAAAAAAAAAAAAAAAAATTTTTTTCAAATTTTATAAAAAAAAAAAAAAAAAAAAATAATACAATCATTACCCCACGGACCCAATCCTGATTTTCAAGGACAATACAATCTTTATACCCATGGACCCAGTCTCCTTGCTCGTCTGATTTTAAAAAAAAAAAAAAAAAAAAAAATTCTTTTCAAATATTATCTAATCGTTAGAAACAATAATACAATATCAAACCGATTCCTATACATCAGAGGTCGGGAACCTTTTTGTCTGAGAGAGCCATGGACACCACATATTTTGAAAAGTAATTCTGTGAGAGCCATTCATTATCTCTAAAACTAAAAAATTCAAATAAATGTGTGCATTTTGTGTAATTTCAACACTAAAAATGCAATAATTATGTCTCTGAATTCTTTTTAATAACATTGTTATGCTGCTGCAAATCAATAATGAGTATTTGTTACCATTAATGAGACTTTTTTTTTATAAACGAACATTTGTCTGCGAGCCAGATGCAGCCAACAATAGAGCCACATCTGGCTCGCGAGCCATAGGTTCCCGACCCCTGCTATACATGTATTGTGAAGAACTAAACTAAAGACCAACAGAAAGACACAGAAAGTCCGACATTAAAAAAAAAAAAACTACATCAGCAAATGAATAATGTAACCGGTCTGCTTCACGGCTGCTGGTTCATCTGACGTTTCAAATCAATAACTTTGTCAAATATTTCCTGTAACCAAGGCGTGAAAGTGCATCGGTCTCCTTATCTGCAAACTCCATTTCGTCACCTTTCACTACAGATAGTTTTTTGCGCGGCTTGTATATGTTCCATTTCGTCACCTTTCACTACCGATAGTTTTGTGCGCGGCTTGTATATGTTCCATTTCGTCACCTTTCACTACATATAGTTTTTTGCGCGGCTTGTATATGTTCCATTTCGTCACCTTTCACTACAGATAGTTTTTTGCGCTGCTTGTATATGTTCCATTTCGTCACCTTTCACTACAGATAGTTTTGTGCGCGGCTTGTATATGTTCCATTTCGTCACCTTTCACTACCGATAGTTTTGTGCGCGGCTTGTATATGTTCCATTTCGTCACCTTTCACTACAGATAGTTTTTTGCGCGGCTTGTATATGTTCAATTTCGTCACCTTTCACTACAGATAGTTTTGTGCGCGGCTTGTATATGTTCCATTTCGTCACCTTTCACTACCGATAGTTTTGTGCGCGGCTTGTATATGTTTTGTGCGCGGCTTGTATATGTTTTGTGCGCGGCTTGTATATGTTTTGTGCGCGGCTTGTATATGTTTTGTGCGCGGCTTGTATATGTTTTGTGCGCGGCTTGTATATGTTTTGTGCGCAGCTTGTATATGTTTTGTGCACGGCTTGTATATGTTTTGTACCGATTGAACTGTACCCTGACATAAATTCTTATTTTACATGCCCCCCCCTCCCCCCACACACACTATAAATAAGATAAGGACAAGAGCGATTAGGAAAATTTGAATAGATTAATAGACATAGAAATACCAGACGAGGGACACAGTTTAACAAAGCCATAGATTAGCGTTTGGTCTGATAACAGCGTGCACGCCAAGTGTCATCAGCCCATGGCTGTGCTGACAGCGTGATGTGCTAACTTCTGGTTGTTGTTGACGAGTGTGCAACGCCGCTGGTGTTTTCATTGCGGTTCTCAAGCTGCAAGGAAACGCCGATGTGTCCACTAAGTAAAAGGAAAAGGATCTATCCATCCATCCATCCATCCATCCATCCATCCATCCATCCATCCATCCATCCATCCATCCATCCATCCATCCATCCATCCTTGTCCCTTACTTTGCCTACTAGATCATCAAGTGACAAGCCTGTCCTTTTTACCATGCTATCCTTATCCACAACCCGGTTGCTATGTGATGTGTCCGCAACCCCGTACCATTACTCTGGATATTGTGAGCTAACACTACGTGAATCAGAACCTTCCTAGAAGAAGTGGTGATTCACTGAATATATACGGGCCGGAATTACAACACGAAATGAATTGAAGATCTATTTTTAAAAACAAAATGATTGCAGAGGAAGTACACAGATCATTACAATGTCTTCAATGGCTAATGCCGCTGGTTAATTAGCTGCTAGATAAGGTCTAATTATTTTGTTTTTGTTTGTTTTTTGTTTTGTTAAAATCATGCAGCTTTTTAGAGAGCGTGTTAGTTTTTTGACAACTTTGAGATTATCGACGACCGAGCCAAAGATGAGTCATTCGGTTCAGCACAAAAAAAAAAAATTATAAATAAAATAGAAATTTCGGAAACTAAACGCGTGAACAAATTAATATTTTCTTTATGACGTGTCCCATTATGACCACAAATACCCAAGTAAAAGTATCATTTAAGTGTCTAAACATTCTATCCAACACACTAGCGAGGTATTAAAGGGACCAAGTGTTATGCCGATCCACCACTCTAGCGAGGTATTTCAGGGCACCAGTGTTATGCCAATCCAACCACTCTAGCGAGGTATTTCAGGGCACCAGTGTTATGCCAATCCAACCACTCTAGCGACGTATTTCAGGGCACCAGTGTTATGCCAATCCAACCACTCTAGCGAGGTATTTCAGGGCACCAGTGTTATGCCAATCCAACCACTCTAGCGAGTTATTTCAGGGCACCAGTGTTATGCCAATCCAACCACTCTAGCGAGGTATTTCAGGGCAACAGTATTATGCCGATCCAACCACTCTAGCGAGGTATTTCAGGGCACCAGTGTTATGCCAATCCAACCACTCTAGCGATGTATTTCAGGGCACCAGTGTTATGCCAATCCAACCACTCTAGCGAGGTATTTCAGGGCACCAGTGTTATGCCAATCCAACCACTCTAACGTGGTATTTCAGGGCACCAGTGTTATGCCAATCCAACCACTCTAACGTGGTATTTCAGGGCACCAGTGTTATGCCAATCCAACCACTCTAACGAGGTATTTCAGTGTTATGCCACGTACCGAACACGACACATGGACGAGATTTAAACCCCCCATGAGTCACCTGTAAGAAGCCAATATTCTGACAGTGCCACTTGGGAGCTGCCCGATTTTTTTTGGGGAAAAAAAAATCACTACATTGAACGCTAGCACTAAACACTCGTCGCTAAAAGCTTGTCACGACGGTGCACATTTTCTCTAATGCGCAAAGAGCACTTTTAGTTGAGACTTTCCGTCCACAAGAGCTGTTCACTGGCGTGACATAAGACACGAATGTGTCAGTGTCAGCGTGTACGCAAATGAGCTGGCCGTCTAGACGGCAAGCGCCGAGATACCAGCGCCCGCTGGCTTCAGGCGTTGATTGTTCAGAAGAAAGTACCAAAGAGTCGTTGAAAAGGACCCTCGCACCTGTAGATAAATTAGAGAACGGGTCGTCCATTTTTTTATTGCGGGGTGCGTTGATTGTTCAGAAGAAAGTACCAAAGAGTCGTTGAAAAGGACCCTCGCACCTGTAGATAAATTAGAGAACGGGTCGTCCATTTTTTTATTGTGGGGGGGGGGGTGGAGTAGTTTACCCACTAGCCAGAATATGGGGTCGGTATCATAACTATATTAGCATGAGGATTCGTACAAACATTAAGTCTGTTTCATACAAACATGAAGACTGTTTTGAACAGACTTGACGACTGTTTCATACAAACATTACGAAATTTACATGCACACTTTACGACCGTTACATACAAACATTACGACTGTTACATACAAAGATTACGGCTGTTTCATACAAACATTAAGACTATTACATACAAACTTTAAGTCTGTTTCGAAAAAAAACATTACGACTGTTATATACAAACATTAAGTTTATTTCGTACAAACATTAAGAGTGTTACATACAAACATTAAGACTGTTTTATATAAACATTACGATTGTTAAATAAAAACATTACGACTGTTTCATACAAACAGTACGACTGCTACATACAAACATTAAGTCTGTTTCGAAAAGACATTACGACTGTTGTATACAAACATTACAAATGTTATATACAAACATAACGACTGTTTCATACCAAATTCAAGCCTGTTTCATACAAACATTAAGACTATTAAGAAGACAATGTAAATTTTAGCGGTGTATTTTTTCATTACGTCTCATGAACCTCAACCCCCACCCCAACCTTAACCCCTAACCATCCCCCCAAAAGTAGACTGCCATTCGCGAAACTTTTAGTCGTATTTTCGATTTATATTTGTCATCCACCGACACAGACATTTTTTTTTTAAAACTGTACATTACGTTGGGCGTAAAATGTGCACGGCAGTAAGTGGGACTTTCTGCAGATGTGTGGATGCATTTGTCGTTGTTTATTTGTAATCTGAAACCTAGGACAGCGGACGTTGTAATCCATAAATAAAAATCCCGTTAACTGGATAGGTGCCACGCCATTGTTTATGCTGCTATTTACACTGAAATTTTTAAGCGTCACATTACACCCTATTCACGCCCCTCCCTCACCACCCCCCCCCCCCCCCCCCCCCCCCCCCCNTTTAAAACTGTACATTACGTTGGGCGTAAAATGTGCACGGCAGTAAGTGGGACTTTCTGCAGATGTGTGGATGCATTTGTCGTTGTTTATTTGTAATCTGAAACCTAGGACAGCGGACGTTGTAATCCATAAATAAAAATCCCGTTAACTGGATAGGTGCCACGCCATTGTTTATGCTGCTATTTACACTGAAATTTTTAAGCGTCACATTACACCCTATTCACGCCCCTCCCTCACCCCCCCCCCCCCACCCGCAAATGCTTCTGAGAGTTTACCTATTTCTGTGCTTGAAAACGAAAGGAACAATCCACACCTTACACCTTATAAACCATAAGAAATAAACTCCGAAGGACATCTGAAGTTTCTATAAAAAACTTGCACTAGAATTTCATAAAATCCGTGCTTCGGTCGGTACGTTCGGCCACCAACTGCTCAAAGAATTGGGGAAATTTTGCTTAGAATATATACATCGCATTATGATTGAGGAAATTTTATATCTATAAAGAACAACATTAAAAGCAATGCTGTTGTTATGTGTTATCATTGTTCAGAGAAGCAGTCCTAATGTGTTATCTGTTGTTCGTATTTCTTGACACTTTTGACATTTAAAAAAAAATATTCGTGCACCAACCCCGTGCTCAGTGTAGGTAGAGGAGCGAAGTGAGAAATTTGAGAACTGGCAATCTAAAAACAGCAACTTGCCGATCTGATTCGAATTATTCCATGACAGGAAAGAAAACAAAACTCAAAGTACCATTTGAAGACCAAAAAAGTAAACACCACCAATATTTCTGTGTACCAGGACAACAAACTATCAATGAATGACAATAACTTTTTAAATAAAATCAGAACCTGATGTCGAAATTTCAACTGTGTCTCTCCACACCTGTTTGAAAAAAAAATATAAAAATGTGTTGTTGTTGTTGTGTTGAAACCAAGCCGCCATTTCTAAACATCTGTTTTGAATGCTTTTTGGAATTGTTGTAAGAAAACAGTAGAACAGGATATGAGAAACCTTGAAAGGAAAAAAAAAATGAAACAAGTCAATCTTAAAAGAACCTTTTGGCGGGAAACCTTCGTAAGCAGACTTTAAATAAACAAAAAAAATTAAAAAGGAGAGAATAGTAAATGTTAGATTGCCAGTACCGGGGAAAGTTATGTCCTATTACATAGCACGGTGATGTTGTGACAACATTTTGACGGGGAGGTTATGTCCTCTTACATAGCACGGTGATGTTGTGACAACATTTGGTCGGGAAAGTTATGTCCTCTTACATAGCACGGTGATGTTGTGACAACATTTGGTCGGGGAAAGTTATGTCCTCTTACATAGCACGGAGATGTTGTGACAACATTTCGTCGGGAAAGTTATGTCCTCTTACATAGCACGGTGATGTTGTGACAACATTTGGTCGGGAAAGTTATGTCCTCTTATATAGCACGGTGATGTTGTGACAACATTTGGTCGGGGAAAGTTATGTCCTCTTACATAGCACGGTGATGTTGTGACAACATTTCGTCGGGAAAGTTATGTCCTCTTACATAGCACGGTGATGTTGTGACAACATTTCGGCGGGAAAGTTATGTCCTCTTATATAGCACGGTGATGTTGTGACAACATTTTGGCGGTAAAGTTATGTCCTCTTACATAGCACGGTGATGTTGTGACAACATTTTGGCGGGAAAGTTATGTCCTCTTACATAGCACGGTGATGTTGTGACAACATTTCGGCGGGAAAGTTATGTCCTCTTATATAGCACGGTGATGTTGTGACAACATTTTGGCGGTAAAGTTATGTCCTCTTACATAGCACGGTGATGTTGTGACAACATTTCGTCGGGGAAGTTATGTCCTCTTACATAGCACGGTGATGTTGTGACAACATTTCGTCGGGAAAGTTATGTCCTCTTACATAGCACGGTGATGTTGTGACAACATTTCGTCGGGGAAGTTATGTCCTCTTACATAGCACGTGATGTTGTGACAACATTTCGGCCGGGAAGTTATGTCCTCTTATATAGCACGGTGATGTTGTGACAACATTTTGCGGTAAAGTTATGTCCTCTTACATAGCACGGTGATGTTGTGACAACATTTTGGCGGGGAGGTTATGTCCTCTTACATAGCACGGTAATGTTGTGACAACATTTTGGCGGGGAGGTTATGTCCTCTTACATAGCACGGTGATGTTGTGACAACATTTTGGCGGGAAATTTATGTCCTCTTACATAGCACGGTGATGTTGTGACAACATTTTTGCGGGGAAGTTATGTCCTCTTACATAGCACGGTGATGTTGTGACAACATTTTGGCGGTAAAATTATGTCCTCTTACATAGCACGTGATGTTGTGACAACATTTCGGCGGGGAAGTTATGTCCTCTTACATAGCACGGTGATGTTGTGACAACATTTCGGCGGTAAAGTTATGTCCTCTTACATAGCACGGTGATGTTGTGACAACATTTTAGCGGTAAAGTTATGTCCTCTTACATAGCACGGTGATGTTGTGACAACATTTTGGCGGTAAAGTTATGTCCTCTTACATAGCACGGTGATGTTGTGACAACATTTCGGCCGGGAAAGTATGTCCTCTTATATAGCACGGTGATGTTGTGACAACATTTTGGCGGTAAAGTTATGTCCTCTTACATAGCACGGTGATGTTGTGACATTATTTTAGCGGTAAAATTATGTCCTCTTACATAGCACGGTGATGTTGTGACAACATTTTGGCGGTAAAGTTATGTCCTCTTACATAGCACGGTGATGTTGTGACAACATTTCGGCGGGGAAGTTATGTCCTCTTACATAGCACGGTGATGTTGTGACAACATTTTGGCGGTAAAGTTATGTCCTCTTATATAGCACGATAATATCGTGTAAACATTTTGGCAGAAACGTTATCCCCCCCCCCCCTCACATCGCACGGTAATACTGTATCCAAGTGTGAGGTCTACTTCATTCAGCGTGCCAAATGCCCGTATCTCTTCCGTACAAGACGCCTTGTTAAAGTTATTTAAACATTACATTGTTGTTTTTCCGCGTGGCATTGAAAAACAAACCCGCGTGCCCAAGTGTGACACGCGTGCTGTAGATTCCGACCCCGTGCACTGGAATATCGCTGGGGGGGGGGCGCCATGGCTGGTGAATATCGTCCCATTTAAATGATTGAAACAGCATTGCTGACACTGGGCTTCGATATATTCCAATTTCTACAATGTCAGCATCTGTCATGGAGACTTAACCGAGTGTTTGATATAACCGTTTGATTATCATATTTTTGGTTTGGTAATTGCATTTTTTTAAAAAATGTAAGTGCCCCCTCCTCCACTTTTTGGTGGCTTTCTGATATAGACACGGTTTGTGTTTGTGTATACGCGAGACATAGATTCGTTACGTCCTAGTATTGAAATTGTGCGGCTTCCGTTTTCCGTTAGAAGGTCATGACCCATCGCCAACCCCGCCATGTTGATCTTGGCGTAGATTCGCCAGCTTACTCCCCCCCCCCCCCCCCCCCCCCCCCCCCTTTCATGGCTGATTGGATATTCATTTACATACCCCCCCCCCCCACACAATCACAGTAGGCGGCTGAATATGGGGGGAGGGGGGGGCCTGTCCACCGGGCTTTGAAATGTCAGACAGTGAAAACCAAACCTGAATGACACAGGACAGAGGCCAGTCATAATCGAAAGCTCGTATTTCACCGTCTTAGTTGTTTTCTTCTTTCTGGCTTGCAGACGTCATTCATACCGTGCTTTAAAAAAAAATAAAATTAATATTTCAGCAGACGTTCAATGAAATGTGGACGTCTTCAAAGTAACGATTTTTAAAACCATGTGATACAAAAAAAAAGACAGATATTTTTATGCAAGAGTAAATAACTGAATGATCGGTATGCAGGAAAGTTCACTGCGTGCATGTGACGTCATGCCATAAGCGTCATCCCTACTAAATCTGGCCACATACTGTGTGCCTTCCAATATGGCCACGGTCAGATCATTAATAGCATAAAAGCCCTGACGTAACATATTTTATGTTGGTTTTATTTTTTATTTTTTTTTTTAAATTTTGAGAGTAAAGAAAAATAACTGTATGTGTCGCAACAGTCATCCCATGTTACACCATTTCACTTTTTAAAAAACATTTCTGCATGATCAGAATACCTTCCAACAAAAACATCCTGTTTGGCGGGCTCTCATTACAAAGAAAGCAGGACCCCATGTAAATGCCAGCGGTTGCATTTTACGATGTTGTTTGTGTTGCCACCTCTCGCGAGGGTGACAATCGTCGTCACACGTACAAATCTGGAAGCCTATTGTCAACCTGGCAATTAGAGAATCAAGCCCAAGGTGAACCGCTTGCGTCACAGGGCGGGAAGCAAGTGACCTTGTCAATCAAGAGTCACGGCAAGCGCGTCCACCCCAGGTTCCTTCTAGCACCATTCGATTAATTTTTCTCATCTGTCATACATAAGTTGATATCTACCAATTAGAGTTGACTGGTCATTTTTTTTTTGATCTCTAAGGTTCAAGCCGTAGATTTGTTTTATCCCTCCAATCACCAGCTGAGAGACGCACTGTTTCATAGTTGCAGTCAACCATGCCACTCGGTAGCTGTACAAATCTGTAGATAGAAACACCAGAACGGACGACTTTGCACACGGCAGCGACACTTTGAAAAAAAGCGTCACGTCAAGCGAGGCATATTCAGTTCGAACAAACTTCGGTCAAACAATTTTCCCTTTGAACACATTTCTTATTCAAATCTACACAGTTTCTGTTCCAATTATACAGAATCATGGAACGGAGCTGCTGAATATCATATAGAAATATGACAAGTAGTTGCTGAATATCATATAGACATATGACAAGGAGTTGCTGAATATCATATAGACATATGACAAGGAGTTGCTGAATATCAAATAGAAATATGACATGGAGTTGCTGAATATCATATAGAAATATGACAAGGGCTTGCTGAAAATCATATAGAAATATGTCAAAGAGTTACTGAATATCATATAGAATTATGACAAGGAGACGCTGAAAATCAGATAGAAATATTACATGGAGTTGCTGAATATCATATAGAAATATGACAAGGAGTTGCAGAATATCAAATAGAAATATGACATGGGGTTGCTGAATATCATATATAAATATGATAAGGAGTTACTGAATATCATATAGAATTATGACAAGGAGTTGCTGAATATCATATATAAATATGAAAAAGAGTTGCTGAATATCATATAGAATTATGACAAGGAGACGCTGAATATCATATAGAAATATTACATGGAGTTGCTGAATCTCATATAGAAATATGACAAGGAGTTGCTGAATATCATATAGAAATATGACAAGGAGTTGCTGAATATCATATAGAAATACGACATGGAGTTGCTAAATCGCATATAATAATAATAATAATAATAATAATAATAATAATAATAATAATAATAATACTACTAATAAAGTTCATTTCAAAAACACGCTTCATCCCCAAAGGCTCGAAGCGCGGTACAAAGTCAACGAAATACAAATCTATAATTTACCACATTTAAAACAAACGCAACACTCCAAAAGCTAATCACTAGCATACAGTTGCAAAGTCTTTCTAGCCATTTCAACCCCATAGAAATATGACAAGGAGTGTCTGAATCTCATATAGAAATATGACAAGGAGTTGCTGAGTATCTTATAGAAAGCCAAACATGGCAAAGTACTGTTGCAATTGCTGATAACGTGTATTCAATGATCCCAACCCCTCCTCCTCTAACCGCAGGAACAATTCTGTTCTGTAAGGTTCTTTCGGCGTCTTTTGTGTCTCGTGTCTAGATTCATGTTCAAACTTCCCCTTTCTTTGCCAAGTGTAGTGTTGAAGTAAATCCTTTTCTGTGTTTGTTGAAGAAATGGATTCGACCTTTGAGATGCGGATTGACTACATCAAATTGCCTAGCAGAGGTCCGCACAATCTTCTTGACTGCGTAGATAGAAAACAGGATGTGTTGTCTTCAACTTTTTGACCCCCTTGCTAGCAATTGTGAAATTCTCTGCCGCTGTTGACGTTGTGAGCATAAGCAGTGGCGATATTAAATTGACAGAGATCGATCTAGTTGTTGTTAAAGCACATAGCAGGGTGTCACCAGATTACTGTACCACCGTGTCAGGTTGCCATCTGAGCTTTAAGCAGACCCAGAATTTGGACGGGGTGGGGGTGTCTAGAGGGGATGAGGCTATGATTTTACAGCACTGGGTGACACCAACCCTACAGCCACCGAAATACGCGCCGAGGAGGCCACTATGACATGTATGCAAGACAACACGCGTGGTTGTACCAGCTGACGAGACATTTGCGACCACAGCATGTTGGCGCGTTTCTGGATTACGACTTACAGGCGCAGTGATACCAGAAGGAAAGTTCCGTTTAAAAGCAATGCGCGCTTTTGATATAATTTTATTTATTTCTATTGAGCCGTCTTTAACTCAAGTATTTTAATTTTAACGACACCTGTTTTTTTTTACCCTGGTTGGCCGTACCTCTGTTTTTGGGGTCCACACGCGATCGAACTTGAAGGCATAGTACGCATGTGGGAAAACGATATACCGATCATTAAAATAATTACCTTGTACCTCCGAACAATGTGTAGACTTGGAAATTAAGATCTATAAATAGGCTCGGACCGGGCTGTATTAATGCTATATAACGCTGTATAATACTACATGGCTTACGTGTGTGTGTGGGGGGGGGGGCTCTTAGAAGTGTGGGTGCTAGGGCGGTCGCCCTGTTTCCCACCCTACTAGCGCCGGCCGTGATCATTTTTATATAACCATCGCTTTATCATTCTCTCTATAACGTACGTTTTACGCCTTCTGTGTCAGTTACATGTTTCAACAAACCTCAAACGTTGGGGGAAAAAATAAAATTCTGATTCCATTCCAGAATTACCATTGAGGGAATGGCTGATCGGCAGAGAGAAAAAATATCTGAATAAGAATGCGCCACAGAAAAAAAAATGGGAGCGCACGTGCAGGATTGTAAAATAAACCGGAAGTGATGGCATTACGCATCGAGCTGTTGATGTATTGATTTGTTGGATTGATTTCTCATTGAATACCAGCTGACAGAAGTGCCGATAGAAGCGCTGAGAGAAGTGCCGATAGAGGCGCGAGGAAATAATAATAAAAATAATAAAGAAAGAATGTTGCAATATTTATGAACTGCTGTTTGTACATATTTGAACCTTCACATCGATCCAATGACGTTATGAGCAAAGGGCTCACACTGTAACAGCATAAAGATTGTAGAAAGCCGTTTCTCAAAGATTGGATATTATAAAATAGCTCAAAAGATGTGTGTTTTGAATAACGATGAATTTACAATCTAACTCATATATTGAGTTTATGTTTTCATATATAGATTCTGTTCAGGGAATGGTCCAGTGAGTAAAGCAATTATTGTTGCATGTATAACAGCAAATTTAGAATATAAGACAGGAATGCAGCATGTAAGACAGTAAATTTAGAACACACCACAGAAAATGTAGTATGAAAATTTAGTATCTAAGAAAGAATTTGTAGTATGTAGGACAGTACACGCAGAATCTAAGAATGTAAATGTAGCATGTATAACAGTTAATATAGTAAGTAAGACAAGGGCAGTTTTGTATTGTGAAATACAAGAAATGTCAATGTATTATGTAAGACAAGATCAGTCGATGCGATAGTTCACACTGATTCCCAGGAACCAACTTCTCAGATCCATTAAACCCCAGCTTATCAATGGAGACGTCTCTTCCTAGCTGATCAATCTTTTTTGAAAAAAAAAAAAAATTGGTCCCTAGGCTATTTTTATGTTTATTTACTAATTCAAAAGAGAGATTGAATTGTTCCCGAAGAGGAAGACATTATGATATTTATTATTACCAATGTCCCACGTCTGTATAATTTATTACGATGTTTTTTAAAAATTAATAAACTAGAACTTTTTATTTAAAGCGATCTATTTTTTAATTTTTATGTTCATCCTCTTTCCAACACACCTTCAGTTTAACATTCAGTAACGATATTTCTATTAATATAATCATATTATCTATAGCTTAAACATTCAGTAACGATAGTTCTATTAATATAATCATAGAATCTATAGATTACACATGCAGTAACGATAGTTGTATTAATATAATCTATAGCTTAAACATTCAGTAACGATAGTTCTTTTAATATAATCATATAATCTATAGCTTAAACATTCAGTAACGATAGTTCTTTTAATATAATCATAGAATCTATAGCTTAAACATTCAGTAACGATAGTTCTTTTAATATAATCATAGAATCTATAGCTTAACCATTCAGTAACGATAGTTCTATTATTATAATCATATAATCTATAGCTAAAACATTCAGAAACGATATTTGTTTTAATATAATCTATAGCTAAAACATTCAGTAACGATAGTTCTTTTAAAATAGTCATAGAATCTATAGCTAAAACATTCAGTAACGATAGTTCTATTAATATAATCATAGAATCTATAGCTTAAACATTCAGCAATGATATTTGTTTTAATATAATCTATAGCTAAAACATTCAGTAACGATAGTTCTATTAATATAATCATAGAATCTATAGCTTAAACATTCAGAAACGATAGTTGTATTAATATAATCTATAGCTTAAACATTCATTAACTATCGTTCTGATAGTGTATTCCATAGCTAAAAGATTCAGTAACGATTCTTCTAATAATATAACCTGTAGCTTAAACATTTATTTATTACTAAACAAATTGCTTACATCTTTACTTACAGGAACTATTTCTTTTTTGTGCCTTCGCTCGATACACTGATAGAAGAGTTGAATTAAAGTCAGTTTTGTTTTTCTTATTCAAAGATGATCAATCCGAACGTAATGTTCGCATCATATTTATTTTGTTTCACATCCCATCATCACGCCTTCCAATCCCCATTGCATGATTCCTTCACAAGGTAGCACTTGTAATCATTGAAATATCCTCATCAGCACCAGGCACAGAAACATCGCAAATCCCCTCTACATGCATAGGAGCCAAAATGACCAATAAATTGATCGTGGGCCCTTAATATATAGAAGAAGAAGAACCCTCACTAATGTACTCAAATTTATTTGCAGGCGACGTCCGCACGAACCCGACTGCAACTCATTCGAATGGAAGACTAGGACGCCCCCACATCTTAAACATCACAGTTCAGAAGATTATGATGGCGTCCAGTATGCCTCGTCATCAGCGTTCTTCCCCGGCCAACGCTAAACCCCTCAACAGTAAACTCGTCAACAAGAGTAGGCCTGCCAACGAGAATTTGACGGGAAATTCGTTTAAGCGGGACACGGTCTCCGAGATGTCCCCGGAGGCCAAGAAAGCCATGATCTTGACCAAACAAGAAACTAAACAGAACTACACATTGCCGAAAACAGTTCCCACCTCAAGCCTCACCAAGGCGAATTCCTTCGCCAGGCTCAAACAAACTGCCGACAGCAACAACAACAACAGCAGCAGCAGCAACACTAAAGTCGGGAAAGAACCCCCAACGGGCACCGTCGCGGACAGGGCCAAGGGAAAAACGTTACCGCCAAAGAAACTGGATTCTAACCGAATCAGAAAAGTCACGGCGCATTCCCTGGGCACGACCGCGGCGGTCACGGCCAGGTCACGGAGTACTTTGTCCCAAACGTTCTCGGCCAGCGACCACGACGGCAGCTTCGACGGCAACAACAACAACAACGACAAGACTCTCGGCACGGTGGCGTTGACAACGTCCACCCTTTGCCCAAAGGACAGCCTAGTGAGTGTTGTGATCGTCGACGGGGAGGACAACGTGGCGTCCGATCAGAACGATAGTGAAACAAGTCGTGTAGAGATCAGCGAGGACGGCCGGGGAAGCGCAAAAGATGGCGTCTCGTTTGTGACACCCAAAGACGGCGTCGCATTTGTGACGCCCAAGAGTTTTGTCCTGGCACTGAACCGCGCCCTGGAAGAGAACTGCATCAGCCGCCTCCGAGGCGACATCACAGACACCGTCGGCATTTCAGAAACGGGCAAAGTGCGAGCCTTGGATGGGGGGCGCCTGGCCAACGCCCAGGAGGTGGTGGTCAACTTACGCCACGAGGATGACAAGGAGATCGTCTTTGAGGACGACGACGAAGAGAGCCTGGACACCGCGAAAACCGTCTCGAAAATCCGCGTGAGCATCTGGATGGAGTACAACGAGGGCTTCCCGCAGGACAACGAGTCGTACGGCGAGCTGAGCTACCCGGCGCTGTACGACCCGGAAGATGACATCACTGCAACCGGCGACGACACGAGGCGGCAGTCGCTAAAAGTGCCCAAGACTTCCGCTCCCACCTCGAGACGAGGGGAGGGGAAAGGAAACGTCAACAAGAACCTCCTGAGTCCGCGGAGCAGCAGCAGGTCAACGGGGAACGACAAGAACAACAACAACAGCAGCAGATACGGGAGCTCGCAGTCTCTGTCGGGGACGAACAGTCTTCGCGGTAATGTCTCTTCAAGGGTGGGATCCGGCGTGACGGACCAGTCTAAAATTAGCGGAGAGTCAGTGCATAGGAAAAGGGAAAGTGCTTCAAGCAGGAAATGAACAACAGTTATTAAACAATATAATAATGATCATTTTTTTTTAAACGCTTAAACTTGGTGGTGGGGGTCTTCGATTCAGTTTAAATTAACGTTTTATTGAATTCAGTGTGACGCAATAATTTGCAACATGACGATATTCTTTTCCGATATCTACCAAGACATTTGAGAAGGATTTACGATATTATAGAGTTATCCTCCACCCCCCCCCCCCCCCCCCCCCCCCCCCCCCCCCCCCCCCCCAAAACAAAACAACAAAAATTTTAAATTAACGTTTTATTGAATTCATTGTGAAGCAATAATTTGCAACATGACGATATTCTTTTCCGATATCTACCAAGACATTTGAGAAGGATTTACGATATTATAGAGTTATCCTCCACCCCCCCACCACCCCACCCCCCCCCACCTCCACCCACCCAAAAGAAAACAACAAAAAAAGTCTCGCAGCTTATCTCCCATTTAGAAATGGAATAGTCCGGTTGTGACAGATCTGTACAAAATAAAGCAAATGAAGAATACAAATCTTTGAATGTATCATTGAAATGAATGCACATTTTAAGGGACTCAAATGGGCCAGCTACTCATTTATTTTGTTACTGCTTAAGACTAGAAAATATAAGGGTAACAATTAAAAAATGTAGTTTATCCATGGGATATTTATTTTATGTCTCTTTGGTTTGTGCCAAAATTGCGGTTTTCATAATTACGGTCCACATTGAAGGTCCTCATTGATGGTCAAATCTTTTTTTTTTCCTATGACCAGATTATGCATTTGTTTATTTGTCTGCAGTATCTAATGACGTCATACCATAAGCATTCATAAAAAAAATGTGAATTTACCATTATTTACTTTTATGATCTGCTTTGAATCTATAGCTAGAATGTAAAAAACAAACAAACAAACAAACAAACAAACAAACAAACAAACATATAAGCAAACGATGACGTGTATATTTCCAACAATGTATCATTTATTATCTGTTATGTAAATATTGTGGTGTGAGAACATTAAATGATGCATTTCCTTGTAAATCTCACCTTAAAACTTCTCTGACGCCATTGGGAGAACTTCTTGATTTTTGTCTATAACCTCTGACCCCGTTGAAGACTTTTTAAAATATTGTTTCTCGAATAAGAGATTAGAGATTAAATCCCCGAATCATCTGCGTCACAGTCATACTTGGATGAATTATGTCTGATGATGACATCATCATGTCTACAAGTCTTCAGTACCAATCTCCACAAGTCTTGAGTTCCAATCTCGGTTTTGTTTCCCCAAAAATATGTTTGGGTAGCTTATTCCTTTTGTCTTACTAACAAGTCTCTTAAAGGTTCATTTAATTACCATGTTAATAATTTGATTCAAAACAACAACTGTTACACATTTGGTGTAACGAAACAAATAGTCCTCACAAAAAGTAAAGCTATCATTGTAAAAAAAAAATCGAAATATATTTAATTTAGCGATGTATCTTGATAAAGCAGATCATTAATGAAGATAACTCTTTGCAATTCTCTCGTACTTTCACTGTATGTTTGGTAATGGTGGTATTTAAAAATGAGTAACCTAACAATAGCTATCTGTATATAGCGCCCCCTGGTGGCATGTGTCAGGGTATATTATAAATCATAAAAGAGAATGATTATTCTACTGTGAGAATGATTGTTCTACTGTGAGAATGATTGTTCTACTGAGAGAATGATTGTTCCACTGAGAGAATGATTGTTTTACTGTGAGAAATATTGTTCTACTGTGAGAATGATTGTTCTACTGTGAGCATGATTGTTCTACCGACAGGGTGATTATGAGAACAATCTTTAAACATGTTTTATGTTACCTCCCCTTGGTCTCGCATTTATTGAGCATAGTACATCATACCCATGGCTGTGATTGTTTTTATTAGAGATAACACTGTATTCATTGGATGTTTTCAAACTTAACATTTTTGAATAAGAGGTCTTTTAAAATGGATGAGAGATTTGCCATTATTTGTGATTGGAGTTGATAGAGATTGCTGCTGTTAGTGATTGAAGTTGATAGAGATTGCTGCTGTTAGTGATTGAAGTTGATAGAGATTGCTGTTTTTAGTGATTGCCAATGTTAGGGAATGCAGGTGTTTGGGATTACCGTGGTTAGGGATTGTCATTAAATCGTGATTGCCGTTGTTAGTGATTGCCATGAGTGATTTAATGTAACAATTTGTTCAAGGTGCTATCAATCATACAGTGGCCTTGCTTGGATTACCTAACTGCTTACACAGTTCTTTATTACAAACTGAAACCTTCAAAGTTTTACTACACAACTATGACATTTTCTGTATCTTTTTTGACAAGATACCGCCACCAACGGACCATGCTTATCTTACAAGGGGACAGACTCAAATACCACGTGACCAGAACTCCCTACCACCTGACCAGGACCTCTTAATACATGACCAGGACCCCCTAATACCTGACCATGACCCCCTAATACCTGACCAGGACACCCTAATACCTGACCAGGACCCCCTACCACCTGACCAGGACCCCCTACCACCTGACCAGGCTCCCCTAATAACTAACCAGGCTCCGCCTAATACCTGACCAGGACCCCCTACTACCTGACCAGGACCCCTAATACCTGACCAGGCTCCCATAATAACTAACCAGGCTCCGCCTAATACCTGACCAGGACCCCCTACTACCTGACCAGGACCCCCTAATACCTGACCAGGCTCCCGTAATAACTGACCAGGCTCCGAC